CCTCACCTACAGGAAGGCAGCTGGTCCAGCCCCAGGAGGGGGCTGGCCTTCTGGGGTGAGTTGCTGAGGCTGGAGAGGGAATGCTAACCCCAGGCAGGAAGCAGAGTCCCCTCTACTAAGTATTAAATTAAACAGGTGACTACCCGCTGAAACAATACAGAATCAATACTGTCAAATGTTATGAAGGGAGCCATGTGTACTTAAACGTAAGCAAACTAACTTCTAATAAAAAAATCTGAGCTGGTGAGAAAATTTGAGTAACAGTGATTATTAAATAAGTTAAAATATGCAAAGATCTTATAACTAAGCCTGACACATAGCAATAAATATTAACAATGGTTGGTTCTTAATATGAATAATATTTAATATTTTATTAACAACGAACTTTAAAAAGTATTATTATCTCTTGGTTCTGAATTATGATGTACTGATTTCATAGTTTAACTTCCAAAGTGCAATCTCATGTCCCTCATTTCAAGGTTAGTTGTTCATTTATTCATTCAACAAATACTGACTGAGCGGCTACTCAATCGGTGCATGGTGACCAGCCCTGGAGATGCACAGCCTCTGCTGTCCAGCAGCCCGCCGGCTGCTGAAGACATGGGGGAGCAAATGGGCAGTTACAGCACAGTGTGACCAGCGCTGTGACAGGGCACGCACAGAGGGCTGCACGAGCACCGGGGCAGGCACCCGACCCGACAAACAGATCGGGAACCACCTCTTGGAACAAGCCCATATCAAAGCGCTTAGGGGCTCATTATGTGCCTGCTGGGACAAGCCCGATGAGCGAGAGTAGGCGCAATGCCCAAGATGAAATAAGATTACAGACCTTGAGAGAAGCAGCAGCCCTGTACTGGGAGCAAAGGCTGCTCCCCCATCACACCTGACGACCCCCACTGTTCTGTTTCATGGGGAAAATAGACTCAATAACGCGTTCCTGTCTACTTACCTTACAGAAAGTCTTGCACGTGTCAATTATGGGCCTGTATCCAGTGCAACGGCACAGGTTACCTGAAGGAGAAAACCCAGCTCTGTTACTCGAGTAACCTAGAGAGGCACAGCCTGCCAAATGCACGATGGAAACAAGGACCCCATCCTAGAAGGAAGCCCTGGTTGACATTTCAGCCCACCCAATCTACCAAGTCAGATTTATTTGTCAGCACCTTGGGATATGTGGTTGGGAGTCTTGAAGCAGGTTTTAACAACTCAGCTATTTGTACTTTC